GAAAAACCTATGCGGCGGCGTTTCTCTTGTTCCTAACAATAATGCTGAGGCAGTATTTGCCGCTGGCAGGTAGGAAACTTAGCGGCGATGAAGGCCGCATCCCCTGTGCCACGGTGCAGCACCGCACACACCGGTGTTAGTGTTCTCTTTGAAGTGCCGTCCCGGGTGGCTGTGTGCCGCTCGGAATCTCACCGGATCCCACCGTGGATTACCCGCGGGCCACGGAAACCCATTGCCCCATCCCTTTAATTGCTGTGAAGTTTGAACGCGTAAAGCGGGCGGTGAAAGGGTTTAGTCTGCATTAAATTAGCATTTGAATGTAATCCATGGGCTCAATAAACACAGACTAGCGAACGCGGTCCCCGTTCGTATGACTTACGCTGCGTACGTTATTTCCCTGTGCGTGCACACTCACGTGCATTGAAGTTAGATGTTGCTCAAAGCGTTTCGACAAAGTAACGTATTAAAAGCTTTAATCGCACGAGTTTACTACCATTGAAGCTGGGCACTTAGTTTGGAGACGTCCCGAACTCTCTCTGTCGGGGGCCGATCGTGATGGCTGACCGTCGAGAGCGTCTGCCAGAGCGCACAGCTCGCCTATTGAAACACCTCTGGCGTACGCGCTTGTTTTATGTCGTCTTTAATCAGCGCTTTAGAGCCTGCCAGTTGTATTAATGTCGGCCGTCCCTGTAACTTTTATGCCTGGAAAGATTTTCATTACAGAACCGTGGTAGAGTGTCTGGGTGCCGTGTGGAGCTGGCAAGACGGTCACTCCTGCTAACTAGGGAGCCATGGATAGTGAAGAATGCTGAAAGAATTGTATCGAGGTGGGCACAAATGCCCAAGGATGTGTCTTCAGAGACGGACTAACAGAATTAATGTTGTTGCGTCTTTACTGTCTGAGCCCCCACGGCCCTGCGAGCCTCAGGAATCTATAGTAATTTGTGTGCCTTAAGTGGCGCAAGAAGCTTGCAGTCACCCGGGCAATTAATTAGCACGACTGTGTCGCCGTTCGTGCCAAGCAACTCCACTTGACAAATGAGCAAAACGCTGATCTGTTGTGGGGCTTTCAAACAGAGCCGTCGTCTGTCACTGGCAGCTTGTAGTTGCGTTGGCTTTTCGTCGCATAAACAGTATATGTAAAAAGGCACGTTCAAAAAATTTGAGCCGTTCATGTCAGGAAACGTGCGGCCGTTAGGATGAAACCGCTGGACGAGTTGTGTGTTCTCTTTGCGTGCAGTTGTTTCCCTTTCGCGGAAGCTCTTTTTAAACCCCGGCACGTCAGGGGTCGAGGGGCATCGCCGCGATCGGAATTGTCAGCGTTTAATTGTAATCTCCAGATTAATCTGGAAATAAATTTGAGAAGGGGGTGGGGAGGTTGAGATTGTGGCGAGGCTTGAAGCCGCGTGGGCATTGGATTGGGGCAGTCGCGCGACACAGACCTGGCAAGGCCCCCGCAGGGCTGTGGGATGGATGAAAGCATCTCTGCCTTGAAAAAAACACCGTTTTTTGCGACGGCTCTCATTAACATTTAAAGAAGTGTTGCTCCAGGGATCGGTTCAATGTGCCTTTCCCAAAGTGCGAGGAAAGGCTGAGAAAATATATTGTGTTGGAGTCCTGGTGGGGTTTGCATTGTTCCTTGGCTTTGTTGGCTGTGCAATTATTAATGGCTGTACAGGGAATCCCTAATGAGTTTTAATTGTGTAGGGTTTTCTTAAAAGAAGCTCGAGGCCGATAGAGCGTTCTTGCAAGTGCTGCGGCAAATTACTGTTATTAAGTAAAGCTTATATAATGAGAACGCATTTAAGTGCAAATCCGTCACTTTAAAATCATCTGTAATGTTTGGAGGACATAATTTCCGTCGGCCGCGTTTCCAGGCCGGACCATTAGAAATGGATGTTATGCAAGTCGGCCTATCGACCAGCACAGTGACTTGAGCAGGGCAAGAAAAACGCAGAGCCTTTGCCCCGTATTCAAAATCCTCTTAAGGGGTATATTTATGGAAGGGAGTTCTTTTTTTTCTCTATAATCTTGCATTCCAAGGGTATATAATAAACCACTCACTCTCACTGCAGATAATGGTCCTCACTCGGGGTTCTAGGCGGGTGCTCCGTAAACACTGTAGCGCCTTGGTGTGAGGCTGCATTTTTATGGCTAGCGGGCCTCCTAATGTGATTTTGCACATCTGCCGAGACTGACAGCTGCCCACAGGCTTCGAGAGGGCCTCTTCGTTCCGTCTGTTGCAAACGTAGCAGCGGTGGCGCACAGGAAAGAGCGCTTTTAAATTTGGCTTTAGCTTGATGAATGTTTAAAATGTTTAATCTTCCATAATTAATTTGCCAGGCTTAGCGTGTTATATAACGGCGGTTTATAATTTATTCATACCGACGCAAACGTAGGTAGCGTCACGTAAACCACCAATTCATGTTGTGTCCCCGTTTGAAGTGCCGTATTTATTATTTACCGCAATCAGGCGTATTATTTCAAAGCCAGAGGCGTTCCAAAAAGAAAGTTGTCTTGCAAACAGCAGCAGATTTTGTGCTTCAATTGCGAATGCACATTAACCCCGCGTCCGCCCTGCCAGCCACGTGGCATCGGGGGATAATGGCGTGCGAGTTAGCGTTACCGCACCGAACATCCGTCGTGGCAAAACTCGTGACACAATCGGCTTTCTGGCGACGCGTTCGAGTGGCGCACGCATGTGAGGTCACGGTGGGTCATCCTGCAGCCCTTGATTTATTTTGAGCAATAGAACAACGTATCTCTAACCTGAAATTAAAACAACCTTCCTTTTTTGTTGTCATTAATACTGCAATCAATGCGATTGCCCTCAGAGCATTTTGTTGCCGCGGTCGGCGTTTGTGCAAAGCTGGGTCCGGTGCATCTGTTGGCACTCCTGTACTGCGGCGCCTGGCAATTTATTCCCTGCGAGTCAGAGGCGTGCCCTTAAACTGCCTTTGACCCTCTATCTCGGGGCCTGTCAGAAGAGCAGATATCTATTTGACAGAGATGTTTGTCTCAAGGACAGCCTTCACTCCGGCGCAGGGAAACAGCATGGGCTTTTTGTCCCGGCCCTATTCTGTGATTTCTGCACATTCCGCAACGGCAATTCATCTTATTTAGTGTAGCATTTGTTGGTTGTGTACTGCGAAAAATCAGCGTTGAAATAAAATCATTACTGCAATTATTTTTAGTTTAGAAAAAAAAAGCCCAATGATTAATAGCTCGCCCACTGTTGGAATAAATTATGGATATTTTTACGTCGTTCCACTGGCTGCTTGTTGTTCATAAAACGTTGTCTATCAAACAAAATGATACATTGTGATTTAAAATAATTAACATGCAATCAATAACTCCCGGGCTTGCAATGTTTTCCCGAAAGCTTGTAAAGCATTAGCGTTGTTGTCTGCTGATGAATATGACAAGAACAGACATTTATTAATCGGTGTGATTAAATGTTCTTCTTTTTCCCGTTCTGTTGGAAGTTATAATTCTTTAAACACTAACGCAAGCATAATTGCTCGATCCAATATCACACATTCATCCCGGTTACAATCCAGTTTATATTTTCATATATCACATGGCCTGTGACAAAGTCGCCCGAAATACTCCCATCGGTCTTGTCACATCTCAGCATTGAGCCTGGATAGTGCGTCGATGGGTGCCCATCAGGCATTATAGGCTGCCGTGGGACTATGTATGTTAAACTTCTTTAGCACCGTACGTAGCCGACCGCGCTAATCGGAGGTGCATTACAATCCGTTGTTGTCCTGTACTTCTGTGCTCCCACATCTACGCTGACCATGTTCACCAACCCCACTGACCAGCATGATGAAGTATGGTCAAATGACCGCACGGGGTGGGGGGAAGCCCTCGCTGACCAGTGTATTGACAAAAGCGCTGTACGGTCGCTGAACTCTGGCGACAAAATCGTTGGCTCACGACGGGCCGCTTCCCTCGCTGTGTTCGCAGGACTACGCCGAGAAGGAGAAGGCGATCGCAAAGGCGCTCGAGGACCTGAAGGCCAACTTCTACTGCGAGCTGTGCGAGAAGCAGTACTACAAGCACAAGGAGTTCGACAACCACATCAACTCCTACGACCACGCGCACAAGCAGGTGAGTCCTGGCGCAGCAGCGATGCCCGGCGCCCGCGTGGGACGTCGTACGCACCTCGGCCTACGGCGGACGCGAGTTACAAATGAAGGAGCGTTTTCCCGCGATCAGTCCAGCTGTCGAGTGTGCAGGTGGTGTAACAGCACCGGCGGCCCATGAGCACGAGCGGCCAAACGCCGGGTTATAAAGAGAGAGAATTGATCACAGACGGGGAGGGCCCATTTAGTTCCTCGCTCCAGGGCCTTTGCCAACTACGCGACGCCACTGCAGCCGCTGTCTAAACGACGACCAACAGCTGCGTGACAATGCATCGATTCGCCTCTTGCGCTACATCGACGAATTGAGCGTGTGAATGTTTGTATCGGTTGTTTAATTTCCTTTTTGCACAACTGCTCGCCCAGATGTGGGCTCACCTGCAGAAACTGTCCGCTGCCGCCCTTGGTTGGTGGCAGGGTGGCGCAGCAGTAACACGTGTCCCTGCGTGAAGTTTTGTATGCTTTGCATGGGTTTCTTCCCTTACGGGTTCTCCAGTTTCCTGCCGTAGCTTAAAAAAAGAAAAACCGTACACTGTAACTGGAAAATCTTGACTTAAAGCTTGCGTGGCTGCAAGCAGGAATTCATATTCTTTGGGTCTTTCGATAAAATCACGTAGATAGGTTCAAAGAAATAACAAAAAACGACGTTTCAATCGCAACACAAGCGGTCGTCACCAGGAAAAGGGGGATAGCGTCTAAAGGCAAACTGTTTATAAAGGTTTGAAAAAACAGCTTACCTTTACTGATGCAGTTGGGATGGCAGAGAGCAGCATGGCCCCTCTACTATGAAAGCGGTATGATGATATTCATAATAATAACGCAGCCTTGATGTCACAAGCAGTCTTTGCACTGCACTGGCCTTAAGGGAACTCATAGCAAAATGCCATGGCTGGTTTGGTTCTTACTGGAGAGGAAAATATGTATGGAAATTGGTCTTAGGATAGGCTGCACCAGAGGGTGGCGATGTAATTTACTACGGTGTGCGTGGCTTGCGTGTGTGGGTTTTTTAAACGCTGTAACGACCTGAATATGCCCTGTCCTAACCGCAGCATCACTCAGCTCTAATACAGTTATCAGGACGGCACCACAAATGGTGCTAAATCACAGCAGGGTGCCCTGGCAAAGCACGTTAAAGTAAATAAATGTTTTTGAAAAGGGCTGATGGCTGTTCAATTCGAAGTAATGATGAATCGCGCAGCCCGCATCTGTGCTGTGTGCCAGCTGCACTGGGTTTGTTTTCCTTTGCCATGGCCTTGCATGAACACAGGAACACATCGGTTGTGATGCCTGTGCAGAGTGGCATCTGACTACTGAGACAGAGAGACGTTTTATTTTTGTTCGTAGGTACTCGAGTGCCAAGGGTGTACGCTGCACGCCAACGACGCGTACGCGACATGAGTGCTACGTGGCGTTACTTAATTATGCAACCCTAATTGTCTCTGCACACTTCGCGCCATTTATTTAATTAATCACGTTGTTACTTATTTAAGACATGCTCAGTTTTAAAAGGAATTTAATTCGCAGCATTTTCAAATGCACGCATGCCAGCACAGCTACGCGTCGCTTGCTATTTAAGCAAAATAGGCAATTTGGCTTTCGCGTTTTTTGCTATGGGGGCCCACGGTGAATGCAGAACTAAATTGCATCGGTTTGTCTCAATGCAACGTTAAACAAAATTACTTGGACAACTTTGACGATTCGACCGTTTTTTCTGCTTGGGCAAAGCTGTGTTCAATTTGGAGTGCATAATTATTATAGCGTGCGCCTTCTCAATCTGCCAAATAACTCCCAGGGCACTGGCAATGCACGCATCGCCCTTAGCCAGCCGGTTAAAGTGTCTCGCCGCCCAAATACAGCGTCGCTCGCGTTGCCTCTGGCACCCGGATGGGTGTTTGCACTCAGAATAAGAGTGCGCGGAAGATGCATTAGTCTGCACCGCCCGAGGGCAGCTACTGCTGTGTTAAATGTCATCAAACATTCATAAGTACCTGCGGCAGGTGTGCCTTGGGCCGCCACATGTCGTCTCACCCGACGGCTGCTGCGCTGCTGTACCAGAGCGTGCGCGCGCGTGCCGGCTAACCATTGAGCAGGGCAGGGAGCGCTTTTTATGCCGGGCGTATGATCACAGGCATCGCTTGACATTGCTTTTGCAGCAGATGTCGACATACACATTCGGCTTTTCTGTGCCGCGTCATTTCGGAATCGTAGCCGCCGGGTCGGAGTTCTGCGCACGTTCACATTGCTCAGCCGTCTATCGTTGCGTGAACTTGTTAACGTTCTGCGTGTCGGCTCTATTGCAAATTGCTCAAGTAACCGGCGATTCCAGTTTATTTGCACGTGCACACAGAGCCCTTGTAGTCAATCCACTGCTGGATGAGGTAGAAGCACAGTACAAGACAAGATGTTACTGCATTGCCCACCACGTTAGCCCCACGGCCTACAGACACGTGCTGTGCATGGTCGTGGCCCATCCAAGCTCTTGTTTCGCGATCCTGGACACTCGGCCGTCGGCTGGAAATCGCATAATGTATAATTCCCTTCTTAGAACGCAGTCGTGAATCGCTCCGCGTCGGTGTTCGCGAGCGTCGAGGGCCAGTTCGCTGCTGTTTGCGATCGCTGCGGGTGAGCGTGCGCGAATGCCCGCCTGCACCCGCCTGCGCCCGCCTGCGCCCGCTGCGCCGCCTGCACCCGCGTGCGTCGTGCCGCAGCCGTAGAGCGACAACCGCCCCCCTCTTTCGTCGCCGTGACCCCGTCTCCCACGCTCTCTCCCACCCACTTCTCGGCTCATGTATAATGTAGTTGTGGCAGAGATCTGCTTAGTGCCCCCACGGGGGACGTCGGCCTCTGAATAAATGACTTACAAGTGCACGCGGCGAAGGCGTTTTCCATCACGGCGCGGCTCTCCGGGCCGCTGCAAGCCAATCTCAGCCGACTCGGCTCGTTCGCTGCCTCGCCGAAATAATCGGCACCCGGCCAATGCATTAAGTGGGCACCCGAAGCAAATATATCACTGTCACGTTAATGGGCGCCGGGATTTTAAAGTTCGTCTCGTGATTGTTTGAATTCAGAATTTCCCGTGGTCGGTGTAAGTGGCAGTTGATTTACTGGGAGGGGATGGGGGGTGGGCAGTAATGTATTTTTGTTTGAAGCATTATGCATTCGAGGCTGAATAAAACTGCAAAAGGGGATTTGAGTTATTCCAAGGCATGTTCGATTGTGCTTTTGGGTCGACTTTCGAAAGAATAAGTACATACTTGCGTTGGGAACAAAAGTTACGAAGAAACGAATGTAGGTCCTTATTTTGAAGAGTGCGTTGAAAGCGGGGATAATGTCAACGTGATTTGTGAAGCGGTGAGACGTAATCGGAGTAGCTTGTGATGGACGTGGCACCGGCTGAGCTGGCAAGCACCGGTATTTTTCCTGACAGGGCACTTGGCAGCAAAATAAAGTAACTTTGATAATAGATGATCCCTATTAAGATTGTGGTACTGTACAAGAATGGGTAATGAAAAGTGTAACTGCTCGACAACAACTTTCTCCGGGACATGCACTCAAACGCCCGCGTGCAGAGCCCAGTGTACATCGCATTTGTCAGTGGAGAAACGAGAACGGGGAAAAGTTGGGTTACGTATCAAGATTACGGCATGCCAAAAAAGTTCCCGCGACAAATGCTCTCGCCTCACGGAACCCGTTTGCTTTTTGCTTTTTTGCAGAGGCTGAAGGAGTTGAAGCAGCGGGAATTTGCACGCAACGTCTCCTCGAGGTCGCACAAAGATGACCGCAAGCAGGAGAAGGCCCTGCGCAGGCTGCATGAGCTGGCTGATCTACGCAAGCAGACGGAACGGTGAGGCTCAGCGCCAGCTCCCGCCTGGCACCACCGCCGCCGCCACCACCGCCACGTCGCCGCCAGCGCGAACAACCCCTTCCCAAAGAAATGCGAGCCTTATTTCCCAGTGTGGGAAATAAGTTCTGAGCTGCCATCGCAAGGTTGTCCTGGATGCCTTCATTCATTGTTGTGGGCACATTCTTCAAGGAACTTGGGCACCCTTAATCAGGGATCCAGGCCCATCGGCTGACGTGAAGAGAATGGAAAATCTCAGCCGCTGCGCTTGCCGCTCCCATTCCCTATCGTTCACTTGGGGGGCATCTCCGTGTCAGAGCCGGCCAAGCCGCTTGTGTACTCTGTAGAGTGCACCTCGTAGTGCAATTGAACGACTGTGCTGATAATTGCTTCTCGTAAAGAGCCGCCCCTTCCCGCCGCCGGACCTACGGGGCCCTCCGTTAGACGGGTCGAGCGCGCCGTGAGCACGGGGAGCGACTCAGCCGGTGTGAAGACATATTTAACCTTCGGAGTAAACGCGCGACTCCTCCCCACCTCGGAAAAATAGGTGTCCACGCGCAAATATGGTAGCTTTCAGGATGGAGCGGTTGTTTGCGGCCACGAAGCACGCATGTCTGCGCCGTTGTAGGATCTCTCCGCAACCCCCACGGTTTATCCAGCGAGACGCAGAAACCCGAGCGCAGGAGTGGCTTGGGTTCGTGGCAGCGCATAAAACCAGGTCCTTGCTGATCTCGTCAAAAAACTTAAAGCATCGCACGTCCTTGCAGCGCTGGTTTTTTGGCTGGCCGTCAAACAAAGATGGTCACCGCATCGTGCTCGTTCAGATGCACTTCTGCGGCCGTCTGGAACCCTCTTCCTTCCGATATTAGGAAGCCACTGGAGCTATGCATTTTTAAATCATCTAGATTGACAAAATGATTACTTAAGAACTGCTTTTCGTGTTTAGTTTGTTATCCTTCCCCTGCACCTCCGACTTGCATGTTGTCTACGTACGGTGCGAAAGAAGTTCAACGTAAACATACAAGTCGCTTTGCTCGGGCGCCGAGCCGGCCCCCATCGCAGGGCCGTGCTGGAACCGGCAGTTTACGAGAGCCCCTTCCCATGAGGAGCACGCTCGTCACATCACACAGCGCCCCTTTTGTTCTTTTGTTAAAGGCAAAGGATCTGGCAAACGCATTGAAGCAATTGTTTACAGAACGATATGACACAAGTGCAAATGTTGGACTTGACAAGCGACAGGGGAGCCAAGGGGGTCCCACTTCATTAGCGGGGCCACGTGCACGCGCGCGTTGTGGTACGTCGCCCGAGCCGTGTTGTTTCCCACGTGAAGCGAGCGCTGCATTCATCACGCAAAGTAGCTTCAAGATCAATACATTTGTTGCGCCCGTCAGAAATTAGATTTGCGATGCAGGGTCAGAGGATGTGGTCGCGTGGTATAACGCGGTTATCCGGTTTAACGACGCCCCGCATGGCGCCCCCCTCGGGTTTGCCGTGCCGTGCCGCAGAAGAGCGGGAAGCTGAGAGATTGCGGCGCGTTGATTTACAACGCTTCGCATTCCGAGGACCGCTATAACTACGTTAGCGAGCATGTTCTTGTGGCGGGGGGACCATTAACGTTTGCTCTGCCAGCGTCGCCGTAAATTCCAAGTGTTCACATTAATTGAAGTACCCATCTCTCACGTGTCACCACTAATTTGCTACACCCTTTCCTGAGACGGAAATACTTTTAAATTAAATTTGCCCCGTTGGCTTCGAAGAAAACTTTGCAAACATGGTAAGCTCCCGGCGTAGTGCGCAACTAGGATCCCAGTTGCTGTTAAGTTTTATTAACGTCTTGATGCAGTGGCTCCTTTTAACTGCTTTGTATGCAAGTAAATCAATTAAATATAAATTGATCAATTAGGATGTAGGATGCATGCCCTTTTGAAGTTCGAATGTGTGATGTATCCCGTATAAATCTTTAAATGTAGCGCATGAGAGTTTTTATTTTCTCACTAATTTGCCTTATTGAAATTTCAGCATTTTGTATTAGAGGCTGGTAATTGTTTTTCTTTTACTGCAATCGGTAGTGCTGTTTTAACGCAAGGGAAAAGTAATGAAAATGGAACAAGATTAATGGGTTTTTGCTTCAACTGCAATGTTTACCGATCCAACGTGATTCCCAGTCGTGCCGCGCGTCGTTCGGCATGTTGTCCGACGTTTCGCTCCACCTGCCGACAACTCTTGGGGAACCGATTCCTCTGGGCGAAGCGTCGGACATCGCGCTGAACGACGCGCGGCACGACCCGAATACAAATCGGAGAGCCGTATGGGCATGACCGCATAAAAAAAAAAGCCTATGTGGCGCCGTTACAACGTTAACCATCGCCCCTTGTCGGCATGCGCAGATCTCCGGGCAGCACGTTCAAGACGCTGTCGGAGGCGAGTCGGAGGACATGTTCTTTGGCGCCGACGAGCTGGCCGAAAAAATGGGCCTGTACGCGCGAGTGCGCGACGGACACGTCGCCGTGGGAGAAGGGCAGCGAGTCCCGCACAGCAGCACCAACAGCCAGGGCGCCACCGCCATCCTGCCCTTCACGCCCAAGGGCGACGGCGACAGCCCCGCCACGGCCACGCAGAAGCTGGGCGTCTCGTTCTCCTTCTCCAAGAAGAAGGCTCCCTCCAAGCTCGAGTCGTCCGCCTCCGTGTTCAGCGAGAGCAACGAGGAGGTGGTGAGTCCAAAGAGGTGACGCTGAGCTACAAGGGGAAGCTGACCTCCCTGCCGGAAGGCGTGGTGCCCACGCCGAGCGAAGCGAGGCTGAGGCCAAGGCCAAGGCCGAGGAGGAGGAGGAGAAGGAGAAGGCGGCCGCGGCGGCGGCAGCGGCCGAGGCCGGCCGTCAGCGGCGCCGACCCAAAGAGCCGGAGATGGCGACGGTGATGGAGTACTACTACTACACCCCCCGGCTCACTGCAGGGTGAAGCCCAAGTTCCCCTTCATGATATTCTGCAAGTCGGCCGAGAAGGTGTTGGATCACGACCTGACCCGGAGGAAAAGAAAAGGCCAAGGAGGAGGCCGACAACAATAAAGCCACGGCCGGCAAGCCGGTGACGACCCCGGCCAAGCCGGTGACGACCCCGGCGAGGCGGAAGAGAAACAGCGGGGCCGGCGACGCGCCGCAGGCTTCGGAATCGCCGGCGGAAGCTAAAGATGCCAGCCGGCTCCGTTGGAGCGGCCTGATGAAGACGCCGCAATCACGGACGCCGCCGCCACCGCTGAGGATGACGTCAAGACTGAGACGGACGTCAAGGATGAAGCGCACTGCTCCTCTTCCACCGCCGCCGCTGCCACCACCTCCGCTGCTGCCGAATCACCGGAGGCAGATGCCGTGAAAGTGGAGAAGCCGCGCAAGGCGGCGGAGCCTTTTTTTTTCAGTGCTGAGCCGAGATGAAACGACCACCCTCCAGTGCCTTCGGAGCTACTCCTGCACACGCTGACGGAGCCTTCCGTCTCGTACAGCTGTAACCCTTTATATTTCGAGTTTAAGCCGCGGCTCAGGCAGCTTAAGGGAAAAGTCGGTCCTGCAGTTCCCTCTGAAGGTTGCGAGCAGCCCGGCGAGCAGCCCAACCCGACGAAGGCGGAGACTCACCGCGAATGCAAATCTGCAGAGGGGACGGCGGCGTCGGAGGGCGCCGCTGACGAGGCGGCCCGAGGAAGCGGCTCCACCGTGACGGCCCTCCCCTTGCTGGACACGGCCGGGGAGCCCTCGGCGGCCAAAGGCAGCACCGCCGCCCCGGAGGTCCGGGGCCTCGCACCGCCCGCGGCGTCCAAAGCGGCCAAAAACACAAGAAGCACAAGAAGTCTGGCAAACATTCGAAACGCAATCCAGCAAGCAGAAGGGGGGGAGCAAACCTGGCAAACCGGCCCGCCGGATAAAGGGCAGCAGGGCGCGGGGGCGGCGGGACGTCGGGGACGGCACCCGAGCCGCAACAGCGATCGCTGAAAAGCAAACACAAGAGGAAGAAAACGACAGAAGATAAGCCCGAGAAAGCGGCGGCGAAAGAAGAAAGTGCCAGAGCAGACAGCGGTGCGCAGGCGGATGAAAAGGAGGCGACACAAAAGAGGCACAAACATAAAGAAGCGGGACAAGCCCAAACGAATGCTGACGAGAAAGGTAAGAAGGCAGATCCCACGCCCCAGTGCTCAAGTGCCAAAACCCCGACCAAGGAAAAGAGCGGCGACAGCCTCGAAGCGAAAGCGCCCGACGGGCCTGGCGCGAAGAAGTCGTCGCGCTCCAAGCCTAAGAAAATCGCGGCACGGCAGCAAAGCGCCCGAGAGCGACGCCAGGGAGGGGCGCACTGAGAAGAGGTCGCCGTCGTCCCGCCGCAGCGCCCCGCGACGGAGACTCGGACAGCGAGCACTCGCGCGGCGGCCGGAGGTCGCCTCCAGACGGCGCCGCTCGAGCCACGGCTCGGACTCGTCGAGCAGCCGCGGCCGCAGCTACGACGGCAAGCGGTCGTCGGAGCGCGGGGGCTCGCGCCACCGGCGCCGCCGCCGCCGCCACTCCTCCAAGCGCAGCTACGATGCGCACGATGACTACAGTGGCTCCCAGCGCAGGGCAAAGCGGCGCAGGTAAAAGAGTGAAATCGTGCCGAAAGCAAAGCGAGCGCCGTGCCCATTGCCTATCACCCTCCCACGTTTCTTTCCCCCTACGCACGTCACGCACGCGGCAACGATTTGCAGATGTCGACGGAGTGTTTTTTTCTGCATGGCAAATAAATCATTTTTTTCTTCATTTTCACATCTGAAATGCAGCATTTGTCCATTTTTCCACGCGTTCTTTTTCGCGGACAAACGATGAAATCCATCCCTGAATATCGGTAACCGTTACGATCGGCTCTTGGGCGATTGGCCTTCGCAGGTATTCGTCTTCGTCCGACGCGAGTTACCGCGGGAGAAGCCGCAGCAGGTCCGGGAGGAGCTACAGCCGGAGACGAAGTGGCAGCCGCGACCGCCGCCGGCGCAGCCGTGACAGCAGCAGCCGGAGCCGCAGCCGCAGCCACAGTCGCAGCCGGCGCAGCAGCGCCAGGCGCTCGCGCTCGGGAGAGGGCGGCGGGCGGGCGACGTGGGGGGGGCAAGTGCCGGGACCGCTCGTTCGAGCGCGGCGCGAGGCGGAGGGGCGGCGACGACGACAGCAGCTCCGCGTCCCGCGAGCGGTCCTTCCGGAGCCGCTCCGGCAGCTCCCGCGCGGCGACGGCGTCGGCGGCGGCGGCCTCGGCCAACCGCCCGGGCGCCTCGCGACGGGAGTGCAACCGGCGCAACGACGACAAGAAGCCCGAGCCGCCGCAGGCCCCTCCGCCGCAGCGCTCCACGCAGGCCCAGAAGGAGAGCGTGGACACGGCGGAGCAACGTCGCGAGACCACGCAGGAAGAGCGCAACCTGGCGACGGCCAAGCGGCTGCTGGAGCGCATTCGCTCCAAGAGGCAGGAGCTGAACTCCCTGGATGGCGAGGGGGCCTTTGCCACCGCCACCAAGGTCGGGATCAGGCTCAAGGACCCTCCGCAGGGTTTCTTTGGGCCCAAGCTTCCTCCCACCATGGGGAACGTCGCCGTGCTGCCCATGATCGGAAAACTGCCCATTTGCAAGCGACCGTGCTTCAAGAAGACGGCGACATGGACATCTGCACGATATTTTCCGATCCTGAGAAACCCACGTTGGAATCTTTCCTTCCTTTCTCTCTAAGCGCACTCGAGGTCGAAGCACAACCGCTGTTCTCAGACGTGTCGCCACGGTGACCGAATTGACGCCAGGTAACGACACTTGTGCAGCGTCGAAGCAAGAGGAGCCTCCGAACGATAACGCCACGGTGCAAGACACCTGCACCAACATGGATCTGGAACCCGTGGAACCGACTTCCCTCGCCGACAGTCAACCCCCACCGCAACTGCATCTCCAGCTTCCACCTCAGCCCCAGGTGTCGCCACGGCCCCTACCGCAGCCTCAGCACCAGCCTCAGCACCAGCCCCAACCGCCCCAACAGCACCAACACGAGCCCCAGCCACAGCCCTATTCCCAGTACCACCCCTGGCCACAGTCGAGCCCCATCATATTGAGGAACCAAGAGCCCGACGGAGTCCCTGGCCTCGTCGGAGTCGTGCGAGAGCGAGCGCTCCCCACGACCGCCGCCGGGCCATTTCGCCGCCGCTCTCGGCCCAGCCCATCTCCTTCGCGCCGGAGGAGATGGAGAAGTACTGGCAGCTGCAGCAGCAGGCCCAGCAGCACATTCAGCAGCAGCTGATGGCCAGCAAGGCCAAGAGCATGCCGCCCGTGCCCGTCATGTCGCCGCAGGTGCCGTCGCCCACGCCCATCATCCAGCACGTGGCGGTGCAGCCCCAGCAGCGCAGCAGCACCCGGCCCGTGTCCATCTCGTCGGTGCACCACACCCTCCTGCAGCACCACGCGGCGGCCGTGGCGGCCGGCCTGCACCCGCTCGCCGCGCACCACGCCCACCACGCCCACCACGCCCACCAGCCCACCACACCACCCGGGCCAGATGCAGATGACGCAGGTGCACGCGCTGCCGCAGCACCACCTGGCGCACATCTCCCTGTCGCCGTTCCCCGCCCACCACACCTTCCAGACGGCCGGGCGGCCTGGTGCACGTGATCCCGCGTCGGCGCTGCACCCGACGCTGGCGCTGCACCCCATGAGCATGCACCACCACCCGCACGGCGTTCGTGCCGGCCATGCTGGCGCCCCACCACCACGCCTTCCAGCTGCACCCGCTCATCCACCCGGCCGCGTTGCAGCGCAAGACGTCCACCACCACCATCAGCCGCCCTCGTCCTGAGGACGACGGCCAGCGCCGGCTGCAAAGCAAGCCGGCGCGCGTAATGCCGCGACGTCGGCGCGGCTGGCGAACTTTGAGAGCGCGCGGGCGAAGATGGCAATGCGTGAGAGGCAGGCGTCCCGCGGGCCCGACCGCGACGGACACGTGGGCTCTGTGCGTGCGTCCCGTTCGCATCGGCGCGATGGTCTCCGTGGCGCGCGTGACGTTACGCGCCGTAGTCGCTACCCCGCCCCCACCCCCCTGCCCTTGTCCCCTTCTCCTTAAGTTTATGCTCTTGCCCCCTTGATTTCTGTTGTGCCGTTTTCCGTAGCCCGGTAGAAAAGTTAATGAACACAGAGTTAAAAAAAAACAATGTAAATGTCGAAGGTGAGTTTGAGAATCGAGGAATGGTGTGGGGCTGCCCGGCACCGTGCCTATTGGGGAGACGAGGGTGGGGGGGGGGACGATGCTTGTCTCCGTCTCCGCGAATGCTCCGTAACCTGCTCCCCGCCTCGTGTTCGTTCCTCACGTCATCGCGTCCCACGTTTCGTTCGTTTGATGATGGTGCGTTCCTCCCGTGTGTTGACCGCCACGAGGATTGGCCGTCAACGTCCCACCACTCACACCCCCTCGCCGTCTTTGTCAATGAACAGCTTCATCGTTGTTTTTAACTCATCGTTACTGTGAAGTGTAGGACGGTTGTGTTGGTTACTTTTTTGTTTGTTGGTGGGGTTTCTTTGCGTTGTTTTTTTTTCTCGTATTACGTCAGCGCCTGTGTGTGTGTGTGGCGCGTGGCCGTGGCTTTTAAACACCCGAGAGGAACCCGTCGCGTCATCCCGGCAATAATTTTGTAATTCGCCCATCTCATCGTGCTGCGTTATATATTATCAGTGAAACGATGTATCATTGTACGGTAATACAGTATGCAAACAATGGAGCTGCTGCTGGCTTTTTGTATAATGTAGAAAACTGCACAGTTGTAAAGTCTTTAAAACGTGTGTGATGTTGGTGATGCGTACTGTCCATTTTTTCTATAATAGCCGACTTATGCCCTGCCGTGTCAAACACTCGTTTATCGTGACGGGCGGGGGGGACTTAAGTATAAATATTA